TAGCCCCATGTAGAGCGTGTTACAGAAATCCAAATGTGAGGTTACCAGTGCATGTATCACAGTTTCCAGATCCCTCATATCCAGGAAAGGGCACAGCTGGCGTATCAGCTGAAGCTGATAACAAGCACTCCTGTTTGTCATGTGAAGCGACGAATCTAGGAGCACCCTCAGACTGTGAACACAGTTCTTGGAGGAGAGTGTGACTCCGTCCAGGTCTGGGTCACTGTTAGTACCTCCGTTTTGTCTGGATTCAGTTTCAATCTGTTTTTCCTCATCCAATCCATTACCGCCCTGAGACAGTCATTGAGAGGAGAGACGCCATCTGAGGTCTAGCCAGATGATTGGGTCATGGAGAGATATATCTGGGTGTCATCAGTGTACTGAAGACACCATGCTCCATGCCTCTGAATGATCTCTCCCAGCGGCTTCATATAAATGTTAAATAGCATCGGGGACAGGATGGCACCCTGAGGGACACCACAATTAAGCTCTATTCTAGAAGAGCAACTGTTCCCAAGCCTCGCCCTCTGGGATCTGTCCGAGAGAAAGGAATGGAACCACTGCAGAGCAGTGCCTCTAATTCCTAACTCTCTCAGGCGATCCAAGAGGATGGTCTATTGCATCAAAGGACTGAGAGGTCTAAGAGCACCAGCAGGGTCACACTACCCCTGTTGATACCCAAGCGGAGGTTGTCAGCCAGCGCAACCATGGCAGTCTCAACTCCAAATCCCGTCCTAAAGCCGGTTTGAAATGGATCGAGATAATCAGTTTCATCCAAGACAACTTGGAGCTGGAAGGCAACCGCCCTCTAGATCATCTTGCTTTAAAAAGGCAGCAAGGAGACTGGTCTATAGTTGTTCCTGTTCAGGGGATCCAAGGAAGGCTTTTTCAGGAGGGATTTGACCGCTGCCTCCTTTAAACAGGATGGAACAATGCCTTCCCTGAATGACGTGTTGATAGTATCCCGAAGGAATACCCTCAATGCATCCCCCCCCGGACAACCAGCCAAGATGGACAAAGATCGAGGGGGCAGGTCGTCTTCCTCACTCTACCAAGGAGCTTGTTCACATCATCCGTGCTCACAGATTGAAGCTGATCCAGTAAAAGGCCATCAATGGAGTTTCTGGACACCTCAACTACAGATTCTGACAAAATGCTGGCGTCCAGGTCGGCTCTTATTCAAGAGATTTTTATCTGCAAAGTAGACGTTAAAAGCATCACAGCAGGCTGTTGTAGGGTTAAGTAGAGGGTTCTGTACAGGAGGTACCTGTGTCAGTTCCCCCACCACCCTAAACAGCTCTGCTGGACGAGACTCGGCAGACGCAATGCGTGCAGAGGAGAAAGTCTCTGCTCTGCATGCAGTGCCTCCCGATAGGAATCAAGATGTTTCCTATGGCGAGTTTTGTCGGATAAGAGTTGGGTCTTCTGCCATTCGCGCTCTAGTCATTGTCCAGCTCACTTCATCCTCCTAAGCTCCTTAGTATACCAGGACCTACGATTAGGAGCAGACTGGAAAGGACACTTGGGAGCGATTGTGTCAATGGCCATGGTGAGATCGGTGTTCCAGGTATTAACCAAGGCTTCGACAGAATCACCGGCGTTACCAACCATTAAACCCTCTAAGTCTTTCTGGAAGCCAATTGGTTCCATTAACGGAGGGCGGACCATCCTAATAGGTCCACCACCCCCAGAGGGGCAGACAGTGGCTCTTAGTTCCATCTTGACCAGGAAATGATCCGTCCATGACAAAGCGGAGGACATAGCCCTCAGGCAATTCCATGATGACAAAGAAATTGTACCTCTCCATCAGCACTTCAACTGTACAGATGTCTGATAGACCATTTTCAGTTGATAAAAGCCATATGATGTTCTGGACTATAAGATATTTTTTTTAGATCACTTCATACCCTAGTGTGACCAATATGTATAACACATTACAGGTAAAAGTGCTCACATCCATTGTGATTTTGATATCATATTTGATACAGGTCCAGTAGATCCAACTTTGGTCTCTATTTGTCCAGCTATAGTAGATACTGTTCAGTATTTACACCAGGAGAAAGTAGAGAGGACCTCTGGAGATGTGGATGCTAACTTGGGCTTGCATGACTCTTGCATTTATCTCTTAATAAAAATATGTAAGGAATAGTAGTTGAGTGGGTAAAGATAGTGGTCAGCAACTCTGAAACTAGGTGTAGTCCCACTCTGCCAATAATAATAATAATTAAAAGCAGATGCGAGGCATCTGTTAAAAAAAACAACAACATCCCTAAGCCTAAACAGACTGGATAATTTCCAGCTAGTCTCTAATTTATCACTCAGTGGCAAAGGTAGTGCAATGTAAGGTGGTGTTTTAGCTTCAGAGGTTCCTGGATCAAATGAATAGCCTAGAACTCTAGATCCATTTATTTTCTATTGCAACTGTGTTTTTTCCTGGAAATGGTCAATCTGGCCACAGTGATTGTTGCCCGTGTAACTCACTGGGTAACCTTGGGTAAGTCACACACTCTCAGCCTCAGGGGAAGGCAATGGCAAGCCTCCTTTGAAAAAGTCTTGCCATGAAAACCCCATGATAGGTTCACCTTAGGGCCACCATAAGTTAAAAAAAAAAGACTTAAAGGCACACAACAACAACAATAAATGTTTCCAGGGACAAGTCAAAGTGCTGTTTATGATCTATAGAGCTATACCTGATTCCCCTGGGTCTCCTTGAAGATCTTGACTAGTTTTTATGCTATTTGGGAGGATTGCTTCTCATGTTTTTTAGAGACATATTTCATGGAGAAATGAGACAGCACTTTGACTGAATAGGAGAAAAGCATGACATAAATCATGTAAATAAATAAATACACTCTGTCTAATGGGATTTATTTATTAAGTATATGTCTTATTTATTAATTAAATATATGACTCAAAGTGGCAAGCGAAGTGAGGGGCAGCAATGGTATATTCAGGAACACTCTGGTTGTTCTCATGAAACATATAGAGGAGTGATGGAGAACCTTTTAGGCACTGAGTGCCCAAACTAAATGGCCTTCCGGTACTGGGTGTTACCCCATGCTGGAGGTGGGACTTTCAGGGGAATGGGACCTCCGGGGCAGGACTTCTCTCTCTCCCCCCCTTCCTGGTCCTTTAGTTGCCTCTCTAGAGGCAACTAAAGGCCCAGGAGGAGGAGGAACAGGTGCACCCCTTTTCCTTCTCTTCCCGCTCTACGTGCCAGGGAAAATGGCTTTGTGTGCCATCTCTGGCACATGTGCCATAATTTTGTCAAAACTGATCTAGAGATTAGAAGATTGATTGGTGTGTCCTATGCCATCTATCCAGGGCCAATGAATTAACTTGCTAACTCAAGTGTGATAGATGATGCTACGTTATTGCCATTGTTATGTCAGAGTCCATT